AACTCTTCTGAAATTACGGACATAAGAAAATGCACTTTGATAAATCATACTTCCTAGGGGCACTTTCTTGCTATGGAGCTCTCTTTCCAAAACTTCATAAGTTTTGCCAAGATCAATTAACCTTTTTACGTGTATTCTTTTTGAGGCAACTCGTCTATCTTTAGGGGCCTAATTACTGTGCCTGGGTCAAGTTGTAACTGTCCCTTTAACATGGAAGGTGTGTTGACATGGGCAACCCTTCACTTCAAACGAAGCCCTGAATCCTCAAGAAAATTATGCCCACCTTGCCGACTTTGACAATCAGGTACACAACAATACTGAGGCATGTTCATTAAGGCCAGTACCACAGTCCAACGTATACAATATCCAACATGGCGACTGTGGAAGGACTGAATTCACACTAGCGACACCTGGAGCCAAGCGGGCTGGTATTCCTCATTTTATTATTATATTTTACTAGCATTACGAACAAACGGTATTTAAAATAATTTCGGGCGCGCTTTACCTATACTAGGACTAAACGTACGACCTGTGCCAATTATAAAAACATTAAAAATTAAAATTACAAAAGATTTGTAGAATTTATGGGACTCTATTCGCGATCTCTGATCATAGTACTACTGATAAACATTAACAAGAGCGAGAAGATAGGCAACAGCCATGGGACAATGAAATGTTTACGATCGGGTGGAGCTTAGACTGAGGCCCGTTGTCTATTGGTTGATTGGTATAATCGGGTGGAGCTAAGACTGAGGCCCGTTGTCTATTGGTTGATTGGGCAATCCAGTGTTATAGGTGTGGACTAATTAGTTAAAAGCTGACAGATGCGGGCTAGCCACTCCTGGGATTTCGGCATTTCTGAAACTTTTCTAGCTCGTTTGAAGGAATCGTTCTCTGACCGAAAAATGCTTTTCGTTAGAGTAAAATATCTGTCCAAATTGCTCTTAGAAGTAAGATATTTTCAAAGAATTCAGTTATATGTGATGCAATTTTATGCGCAGAAATTATATGCAAAAAAGTCAAATGCTTCATCGTGTTTCTGATAAGACCTATATCTTATACCATATCAAATAACTATACAACAGCAGAAGTTCAGTGTTTACAATATAAACAAAGGCGCTGGATGGATACCCAAAAGATTAAATATATTAGGCCACACTTTTTTTTATTTTTATGGATGACATCCTCTGGGTACCCCAAAATCGGTGCGCGAGGGCGAAAAAAAAAACAGTCCAAAAAAAAAATACTGCTTAAGTAAAGGAATGCATAGATATACTTCATATTACCAAATCTATTGAAGGACATTTCATGCATTCAGTTGATATAGCAATCAATAAAACAAATATCAATCAAACAGTGTGTCTTTATTTGTATTCTCCGAATATTAAAGCATGTTGAACACTTCACAGAAATGTTTAAAAAATGATGTTAAGATATGCTTAATAGTACCAAATCTATTAAAGGTCATTTCGGACGATGCCATTTTGTCTACTTCAACTCACACGATGCAGCCAAACTGTCAGGTGGCCTGTCCGACCTTCAGCCCACCAAATACCTCGACGCCCTTGTCGTCCCTTTTTTCGCTACAGAAAACCTGGTATTAATGTGCTGCTTTGTACAAAATGTCACAGAAATTTTATCGGCCGCCGCCAGCCTTTCGCACAATTGTAAAAAGGTGATATCTCCATGCCAAATATCAATGGAATACCAATCCAAAACGATGGCGCCCGTTCTCTTTATGACTTTATTGTTGTGTAATTTGAAGGTAATCCTAGAGATGAATTTGACGGCAAAGTGAATGCATTTCTATGTGGCGAAAATACACATGCGCAGAAAGCTCATTTCCTGGCAAATTCACTAACGACATTTGCGACAACCGACTTTGTTGGGGGCTGGGTTTTTTTTTTTTTTTTTTTTTTTTTTTGAGAACGGGCGAAAATCGGTGCGAGCGCAGGATGTCATCCATAAAATTAAAAAAGTTCGGCCTTAGCTAAAAAAAATGCCTAACATTTATACAGTTTGTGAAACAAAAGCAACGGACTGCTACTTTGACTGTAAACGTTTACTATGACGAAAATACTTGCTTTTTTATTTTACTTTTAAATTAAAGTTACAGTGGGAGTACTAGTTACTCAATTAACGTTACTATGTACTTTACAGAAGTAACCGTCCAAACATTTACGTGGCGAAGAACAGTGTAATGCAACGTAGTGTAACATCCGGGTAGTTAGTAGTTGTGGACGCTGTGATGTGATTAGTGGCCGCAAGTTGTGGCCTTTATTCTCAGCACCCCTAGCTGGGGTTTCAGCATTCAGACGACAACGAAAACACTCTTTGAAAAGTTTCACCAACTCGTCCCGAAACACCTGACCCGACGCAACAAAAAGATAAAAATTAGTATTGTGATTCAAAAAACTTATGAGTTGCGTTATTGAATTTGTGTACCAGCGGGTGATTGAATCCAGGATAGTGACATCTGTTTCAAACAAAGTATTGTACCAGTAGTACAGATAATAGATGAGATAAGGCCAGTTGAGCAAGATGGACGCTGCCACTGTCGTTAACAGTAGAATATTTAATTTGGGGTTTGTCAATCCACTGCTATCACCGTGCTGCTGATGACCAGCCAGTTGTCGTCTTACGGAGTGGCTCTTCCTAAGTTTATACAGAATGGCGACCGTCATCGCTGTAATGGCTATCATGATTACGAACCACACCACAGCCATTGCATAACCCAGAATCTTGATAACATGATCTAAATATGCTGAAAGTTCATAACAAGCCATGATAAATGGAGAATAAAATAATACAGCCAGAGGAATAGGAACAACAGAAGTCAGCAAAGCCTTTCGTCTCGTGCACAGAGAAACCGCTTGTAGAGGTTTAAAAATTATTACAAGTCTCTCTACAGTTAACACCAATATGTAGAATATGGAAAGGTTAAAGGAAGTCACTTGTAATACATATATAACGTTTTTTCCCTTACACGACAATCTGATTCGTTCACAATAGAAGATGCATGGAATCGACAGAAGCGTCAGACGTAACTGATCCGCACCGGCAAGGAACAGAATATAAACGAAGGTGGATTTCTGTCTAAGCCTCGGACGTCGAAGAATCACCAGGAAGGTGAGGAAGTTACCAACCAGGCCGATGGCTGTCAGGACGTACACAGTGTTACACCAACATGTCCTAAGCACCATCCAACAGTTTGGCTCTGGGGATAGCACGGTATCGTTCAAGTCGCCCAAACCGTGCCTGCTAATATTTCCTTGGGAGGCGCTGGTGCTATTAAAAAGTCCAACATCGTTTTGATAGTCTAACTCATGCATTGTTAGTATGTCATCGAGTTTATTCTTTTGCCGTCGGTAGTCGCTAATACAGTTCCAGCTGTTCAGGAAAAGATGACGAAGTAAACGCTGCTAACTACGGGTAATTCACCTATCCTCAGTGTTGGTAAATTAATTCTCTTCCCCTTGGTTGTCAACTATAGTAATGTACTTTATATCAACACTGAGTGGATTTGTCCTATTTGATTGGTGGAGAAGTGTTGAATAAGTAAATATTCCCTACCCCAGTGAGCCTCGTTTCAGGTACTGCCGCATAGACCTCATAATATAATGAATCCACCAGTCAGAGGCTGCATAATTTATACGATTAGGGTGGCTGGTTTATGAGACATTTTAACTTAAACTTTGGGATTTTTTATTTTTTCCATTCCATATCTGTATGTATGAATGGTTTCAGTATCCAAGCACACTGAGTGACGATCTGCAAGAGTAATTGTGCGTAAAACTTCCTAATAACTGACAACAAGAAACATCAAATTTTCAAAATGTTATCTCTTTGCAATGATAAAACTGATGAAAGCTAGGTAAATCAATCAAACCTTCACTTACCACACACTCCATTTTAATTTATATGTCAATGGCTAAATA